TTTTTTAACCATGTTCGCCATTTTGGATCGAGTTTAAAGAACAAGAAACTCAATTTAAAATTTAATTTTCTATACGGTTATATTTTTTTTGTCCAGGTAATAATTTCTGCAAATTTAACATTAATCCGTGACAGAATGCTTGGACTAAGTTAGGTATAGGCATTGCTTCACAGAAAAAAAAGTTAATGTTTTTTCCTTTAAAATAAGCCTTTATAGAAGTACCTACGACTAATAGAAACCGAGATACATTGGATCAAAGTTGGCTACTTTTTGAATTTTTGGGCAATTTTTGCCCCTTTTGACGATTTTCATCTTATAACTTTTTTCTGAGTTAATTTAGGTATATGTAATGCCATATTCAAATGAAAGCTGGTTTCAAGACCTTTATGGTGCCTGAAGTTTGCACAGTTAAAATCAATCGAGATATGTCAATTTAACCAACGATACTTTTTTCTTTTTATAAAATTTTTATTACTTTCGGTATTATTTTGTCTAATAAATTTATTTTTGTGAATGTGAAAGTTAAAAAGTTTAAAGTTTTAAAAAAATTTTATAAAAGGAAAAAAGTGTCGTTGGTTAAATTGACATATCTCGGTTGATTTTAGTTGTATAAACTTCTACCAGACACCATTATAAAGGTCTTGAAACCAGCTTTCATTTGAATAAGGCATAACATATACCTAAATTAACTCAGAAAAAAGTTATAAGAAGAAAATCGTCAAAAAAGGGCAAAAATTGGCCAAAAATCCAAAAACTGGCCAACTTTGATCCAATGTATCTCGTAGGTACTTCTATAAAGGCTTATTTTAAAGGAAACCACATTAACTTTTTTTTCTGTACAGCAATGCCTATACCTAACACCTCAGAAAAAAGTTGTGGGCCAAAAACCAAAAAGAAAAAAACGTATTTTTTCGTTTTTTTACTGGTTTTTTTGGCCATATTTTTGTTACAAATATTTTTTTTGACTTCAAAAGGTCTCATTTCGATTGGAAATTCAATTTGCTACAACTTTTCTGTTGACAGTTATTTAGAAAAAATTCATAGTTTTCGAGTAAAACCCATAAAAATTAAAATACCACCTTTTTACTTCCATTCTCAAAAACGCACCCCTTTAAAAGGTAGCACTCCGCGGTTTTATCATTTTTTAGGGTCAATTGAACATATCAAACAATAAAATTTCTGTTACGTTGTCGTTCCTATCTAAAGTACATAAGCAATAGCCTATTATGCAACAATTCGCAAAATAACACTTAAAACATCAAATTAACATTGCTTGATAGCAGCCTACTCGAAAATTTTTGTTGAGGTTCATTTTAAAGTTTATCGACAGAATCCAGAGGCACCCTTCCGAAAAATCAATTTTGCCACGAAACTATAAGTTAGGAAAAAAAGTGAATGTACACTTTTTTTCAATAACAAACTGTCTGAGTCCCCATAACTCCGCCACTGGTTGCTTGCGGGACTTCTACTTCTACGGAAAAATGGCATCTTATGAGAAGCCAAATTTGGCTTAAATAGCCTTCTTCATTTCGAAATTATTTAAAAAATTCGAATTTTTTTAAAAATCTTTAACGCCCTATATTTCTTAAATGAAGCGTCCCTGGAAAAAAATCTATACTTGATTTTTTTCTTATTTTTTTATGAGGAATATCTCCTTAAAGTTTGTCGACTTAATCCTGAAACACCCTGTATAGTATTTTTTTAGTATGTCCCGCTTTCGACGAAATAATCCCGCTTTTTTACTCAAAAGATTTCAAAATCCCGCTTTGCCCGAAAAAAAATCTGGCAACGCTGACCGACACATTTTCAAAGCTACTTGAAGGTCAATTCTTGTTGTTTTTTTTTTATGGTAATACGATTTCTGACCTCGGACTCTGAAATTGGCACGCGCCGTATATTTCTTGGGAGGAGTACGCGTCAGCACACGTAACGCGAGTCGTTTAGAGGAGAAGGACGAGTCCTGGACGTCCTGCGCGCGTCAGGCGCTCGCCGAAGGCCTGAAACCGCTGAAATCGATACGCGCCTCCCGAGGTGTGCGCTCGGCACGTTATCCCCGCACGCCGATCGATCGAATCCCCCGTTTTCCGACATGTCGGCCGCCGAAACCTCGCTGTGGAGCGTCTCCGCGGGGTGTTCTTCTGCGGCGACGGTGACGATGTGAACGCCGTGTCTCGGGAAGCGCAGAATGCACTTGCACTTCGAGAGGACGGTGAACGCGAGGAGCGACTGCCCCATCCTGTCCCTCACCTGGATGGGAAAGGTGCCCGACGAGCTGCCGGAGGTAAGGGTCGCATTTGTCTTTTTTTTTGTTTTGCTGCATTTTTTCAGTCAATACTGTCCTGTAAAAATGATTAATTTTTCATTTATTTCTACGGATAAAGTACAAACCATTTCAATCATATGTTTACTGTTAACAGTTTTTTATTTTTTTAAATTATTTTATTCCATTTTTAAATTGTTTTCACGCAAATGGTGAAACAAAAAGTGCAACAAAACATCGTTCATTAAAGTCTAGCTGTAAAAACTCGCTTCCACACTGAAACAAGCAAACAAATACAAAATACACATCACTATACAGGGTGTTATTTAAGTACGTGGCCAAACTTCAACGGGTGATTCTTTGAGTAATTCTAAACAGTTTATATAAACATAGGTCCCATGTCATATAAGGGTTTTTTGTTTATTTTAATGTATTCTATCGACTGTTAAAATTAAGGCAGTTAAACTTCTAACACCCTGTATAAACATAGGTCCGGTAATGCCTCGTTTTCAAGAAAGTCCAACTTTATTTAAAAAATCGTTTTTTCGTGAAAATCTTAATAATCCTTTAGCCGGTTTTGTTGAACTTTGGCAGTGTTATTTATTGTAGTTAACCAACGTGCGCCATTGAATTTTTTAAACTTCTATAATTTTTTTTCGCATTAAGCAACTGCAAATACAACTTTTTTGTCTCTTGATTTTTTTCGTATTTTGTTTCCTTTTTGGAGAAAAAAAATAAAAGTCACTTTATTGCATCATATCCGTGGACAACAAATTAATAAAAAATTTTTTAGCTAGCATTAATCGCAACAATTTCTAAGACTAGAATAGAGTATTGATATGAAAAAAAAATAACAGGTACACCCCTGTTTTTAAGGGTTTGGTAGTTTTAATTTTTTTATTACGTTGTCTCCTCAGGGACATGCAATAAAGTGATTTTTGTTTTTTTACAAAAAAATTCTAGAGACCAATGTTTTCTCGGAAACTATAAGGATTTTACAAAAAATTTTTTTACGATATTGATTCCATTTCTCATGCTGCATCTATTCCCAATTTTTTTTGGACAAGTTGTGAATCACCCTGTATAGAGTTTAAATTTTAATTTTTTATTTATTTTTATTAATTATTTCAGAGTTTTAAAGATATTGACTCGAAATTTGATGTTTGTATTTTTTTTAGAAATATTGACAGCAACCTACTAGATAAGGTATCGATAGAAATTAAAAATACACAACTTGCAATAAAATCTTTTTTAATTTTTTCCTCAAAAACGGTGCATCCTACGAAAAAAATTGAAATGACCAATTTCGTTCAGAATTTATGGCGGATTTAAAAAAAATATCAGAACGGAAAAAAGTCAGTGGCGTACCATTTTTTTAATTAAAAATTGTTGTGGCATTCTCGCACGAACGCCACTGATGCAAGTAGAAGTATTCGGATCAGCCCAAAAAGTGCAAAGCGTTTTTAATGTTTCGAGACAATATCTTTAAAACTCTGAAATAATTAATGAAAATAAATAAAAAATTAAAATTTAAACACTATATCTCGGAAATGAAGCATATTTCGACCTACGTTTATACGAATTTTTTTCCACAAAATAACTTCGGCAACCACACCCTAAAGTATTTCGCAGTTATTTACAAACACCCTGTATATTTATTCTATTATTGTTAACTTACTCCTAGTATGTTTCAACTTATTCCAAACAGTTTATATTTTAATTTTTAGGTTCATTTTTTTTTGAAGTAATGTCGAATAAAGAAGGGGAATTTTCACTAACAATTTACACTTTTTCTTCGATATAAAAAAATTGATAAAATACATCTTTCTGTGGTGTCGTATTTACTAATAAATAAATTTATATTTAAATAAATAAATGTGTTTTTTTAGGATGAAGATTGGAAATTGAATCGCACGAACTACTATCAGGAGGGCTGGCTGGCCACTGGCAACGTGAGGGGCATAGTTGGGGTAACATTCACCACGAGCCATTGCAAGAAAAATGTGGAATTTCCTCTACGTACAAACTATAACCTGCGGGGCCACAGATCAGAGGTACTACCTAATATTTTCCTCAATTTTTATAAATTTACATATATTAACTAAAAATTAATATTGTATGTATATATATTTTTTAATTCACATTCGGAAAGTACACATCCTAGTTAGCTGATGTGCAAAAATTCATAAATTTTCTTCCACAATTTCCCGGGAAAACGCGCGGAAGCCATATTGTGACGTCATACCACTCGTTAGCAGCTAGCTCACATGCTTGGCTGGGTGTCACATACATCACATTGTCGTATCGTTTTTTTGCTAAGTGTAACATTAGTGGTAAAAATAAATAAACAAGGAAAAAACCTTAAACAGTACCACAAATAATGGCTTGGACCGTTTCCACTAAATATTTCGCGAATTTAGTGCCATTTCTATGGTATTTGCGCCATTTACAATTAAAAAACTCAATGATCGTGTATTTAAATTCCGAAGAGAAGAAGGTCTTGAAATATTTAAAGTAGTAAGAAATGGTAAAGATAATACATCAACTTAAATATTTTATAGGGATTTTAGTATAAAGAATTAACGCCTTTCTGTTCGCTTTCATCGCACACTTCTTGAATCGACGCGTTCAATCGGAAGCAACTACCTCCGTGCCCATTTCCTTTCCATATTAGTCGGGAAATTGCCAATTTGGCTGGATTTTAATGGCACAATACCGACACAATCGATACACTTTCATTAAACCGAAAATAGCAATGGCTTATTTGTACCTACGAAGAACAGTATGTTTATAAACAGTACTCAGCTCTTTCCTCACAAAACAAACACTTTCGTCAGACCGGAAATCCAAAGTTGTACGGAAGAAGGGCAGGCGTATTATTATTTTATGGTGTACCATAATTCTTTCTGATTCTTTCCAGGTTATTTTAGTAAAGTGGAACGAGCCATATCAAAAACTGGCGTCGTGCGACAGTTCTGGAATTATTTTTGTATGGATAAAATACGAAGGCCGGTGGTCGATAGAGCTCATCAACGACCGGAACACACCTGTGACGCACTTCTCCTGGTCACACGACGGCCGAATGGCACTCATTTGTTACCAGGTAGTCCGTTAATATCGCTCATTCCTTTATATCGATGTAGATTCGATCTTTTTTTTAGCATGCCAGTAATAAAGCTTTTTTAAAAGTAAAAGCACGATCGGTCTAGCGGCGGGGTATGAAAATTACGGAAAGGTTAGATAGAACAACAAATTTACGTATCTTTCTAAAGGTCAAAGGTAGCCTTCCTGTAAATATGAACCCATTCTTTCGATATCTTTTTGTAACTTGAAAATTGATCGATGTTGTAAAAGCTTTGCCGACATAAATTCATCTAGTTGGGCGGGTTTGGATGTAATCTGATTAAAGGAGAGGCATAGTAATGGGAGACTAATGTGAATCGATAGTAATCAGCAATTTTTTTCATTCATTTTCGGTTTATCTGATTATGTATCGCAACATTGAGTCACAACACTTAAACTATCTTCTTGTATCAGGACGGATTCGTTCTGGTGGGCTCTGTGGCCGGTCAAAGGTACTGGTCGTCCATGTTGAATTTGGACGCGACCATAACCTGCGGCATTTGGACTCCCGACGACCAGCAGGTCTACTTCGGCACTACCTCAGGTCAGATCATCGTCATGGACGTACACGGAGCCATGGTGTCCCAAGTACAGCTGGGCTCGGAAGTGGGCATCACCTCCATGGCTTGGTCCTGCGAGAAATTCAAGATGGAAGAAGGTGACGACAACGACACTAGCGTTACCAATTCAGGTAAGCTGCGATTCACTTTCGACGAAGCCGTTCCAATCCCTATCGTACCTTCCAGGTGATAGAAAATTCGTGTTAGCGGTTTCTTTACAAAACGGTTATATATTTTTGCTATCCACATTCGACGACGTGTCGCCCATCCAGATTAACACCGGACTGCAAGGTCCGATCTGTATGGAATGGAGCAATTCCAGGGAGTTCCTGGCGGTGTCTGGGATCGCCACTGGATCCCCTACCGTTGGGGTCCAAGTCGAGTACACCAACATGCTGAAGTTCTACAACGAGAAAGGCGTGCTGCTGTATTGCACGGTGATACCTGACCGACATGTAAGTGCAAGCTTTTCAATGGAAAAACCTTTTGTTCATTTCGTTTTCCAGTCTCGGATATCCACGCTGACCTGGGGCCATAACGACAAACGGTTGTTTCTGGCGACGGGGACGCAGATTCACATAGCCTGGGTCTCGAAGAGAATAGCTTCGCTTCAACTCCTATGCAGGCTAAGGATACACAACCTAATCCCGAACGAGTCGCAACTGGCCTCTCTACCGTTGCCTCTTCGCTTAAGGAATATCATTGGGAATCTGTTTGCTCAAACAATAAGGGTAAACATTACTCTTGCAGCAAAGCTTAGAATATAAATTTTGCAACTATTTTACAGTGCTGCGTTCCGGAACCGAGTTCTTTAAGGGAATTCGTGTCTAGACCTCCAGTGGGATCAGTTCGTTTACATTGTACGATGATCAGACACGACGAGGAGAATAACCTAACGTCCGGAACATGCTACACGCTGTATCTCGAATACCTTGGTGGTCTGGTGCCCCTTCTCAAGGGCAAAAGGACGAGCAAAATCAGGCCGGAGTTCGTTATTTTCGATCCACAAGTGGAAGGTAATGTTTACGTTTTAGAATCAAGTTTATTTCTGTTCCTGTAAGTAGATAATGTAAAAGTTTCTTGAATTGATCTAGACTACCAATTGTATTCATCAGAATCGAAGAGCTCGTCTTCTTCGAGCAACTCTGCAAACGGCGGCTGCAATAGTGATACGTCGGATTCGGATCGGGAAGACGGTTGCACTGGGTCCCCCAGGATGCAAAGGAGGAGGAAGAGGAAGAATAAATACTACTCGCATGTGACCCACCACGACAGACAGCCGTATCAGAGGCAGGATCAGGATAGCGAGCACGAGGACCTTTCTTATGTCGACACGCTTCCAGAGGTAAGCCCGATGGCCTTTTTCTGTGCTTTGTTATTCAAACTCTTGCTGTTTCGCCATCGGAACGCAGTTTTTTTGTCAAGGTCATGGGTTTGGGCCCCACGATGTACGCCATATTCATTATCTTACACATCTTATCAGGATTAATTGAATAATTTTGTTGTACGATCTATACAGAATTTTTTTTAAGGTTGCACAAGACAATATTATAAAAAATACTTTCATTTTCCAGCAGGTACGTCTTGTCGAGGTGACGTCGAACATTTGGGGAACAAAATTCAAAATTCACGGGCTGGCCACGTCAGTACCCGTAAATCTGGGTCAAGTGACTTACAAGACGTCGCTCCTCCACCTGCAGCCCCGTCAAATGACGCTGGTCATGACGGAACTACGCGACGATTTCCCCGTAGGACCTGACCCCACGTTTAATCCCAACCTATTCTCTGAAGACGAAGAAGAAGTAGTCCAGCCGGAGGAAAGATCGAGAGGTGTCAGGGGATCTATAGACATCCCCATAGCGCCTATGTCACCGCGAGGTAACGTTCTGGGCAAGCAGAAGTGTTCGTACCTGCTGCCAGAGCAGGGCGTCCGGCGCATAGGTGGGTCCAATTGTCAATTTTAACTTAACACTGACTGAAAACTGAACGTTCCAGAAACACCAAGTTCGTTGCTGGCCAAACCCGAGTCTTATGATGAAAAATGCTGTTACGTAGAAGTAAATGAAGTAGTAAGCCTTAGTAATAACGATCAAATCCGTCCTCAAGCATCCAGCAGCACAAGCAATGGTGCCCTGTTAAGTTTGCGTCCAACCAGTACACAAAGTACGAGCTTCATCGGTCAATTCATGCAGAACGGGGCGCAGAACGGAGGCAGTCAACGTCACGCTATATCGCCCATCTGCTGCGAGGTAAGTGTCATCCAATCTCTTTATCGATGTTTTTGAAAAGAGACTCTCAAGATCTATTAACCAGGTGTCCGTTCCGGCCTTGCAGTCGCCCAAGAACGCGGTGGCGCCCAGTGACATCATCTTCGACCGCCCTCCCGCCTCCACGATCATATCTTACTCTGCCAGCGAATATTTCAACGGGAGCAACGCCTTACAGGTGAAATCGAGTTTGGTCGAGCAGACCGCGAAGAACATCTCCGTGACGTTTGGCTTGAACGGCGAACAGCACAAACCGATCGTTATCAAGAAAATTCAAGAGGACTCGCCTGTGGACAGTAAAAAGGCCAAACAAGCCGTCAACGAGTCCTTGAATAGAGAATTGAAGTTTATAGACGAAGAGAACTCGGGTACAGGTCCCTCGACGTCCAGAAGACCTCCACCGCCCACAACTTGCCTGATAGACTCGATGGTGAGAAGTTGCAGTGTTGGTAAGACTTGATATCTAACTCTAACCGTTATTATTAGTGTATTACTCGTTTTCTTTTAGGATTCCTAGACATGGTGGACGCCCAGTTGGTCCCAAGCGACGCTTCGTTGCTGATGTTGCGTAAGGAATTTCCGAAACGTTTGGTGCTGGTGAACAAGAAGCCTAGGACCAAGAGGCAGAGCAGGATGGTCTCCAAACCGTCAGACCATCACTTAAAAGCGTCAGATTTTAATCCTAGGTTAAAAAATTGCGGCAAATCCAAAAGCTTGGACTCGAGTGATATTTTCCCAAGCAATGAAAGTTCCATCGGTAACATAGCAAAGAAAAAACCTGAAGATATACTCGAAGTGGAAAATAGTGCGGTGGAAAACAGTCAAGGTTCTGATACAGTGGTAGAAGAGAAAAATAACAGTAATAAATCAACAAAAAGAGACTTTTTCTCGTCGCCTTTAATGAGGAGGAAGAAAACGGATGTCGGTGAACAAAATAGAGGAAGGAGCACTCAGAAGAAGATCAACCAACAAGCGGACGTCACTACCGAGAAAAACGGCGTCTCGATACACACCCAGGCCTTAGCTAACCTAGAAAAGTTAATAACTAGGCTTAGAGAGGACGACGGCAAGTCCTCGCCTTCTCACGCGCCTAGACTGCCTAGAAGTTCGCCCTCTTCACCAGCGCCTACTAAAAAGGGTAAGGAAAAGGATCTATATCAAACTTCATATTATTACGGTCTCAATTTAAGGTATCCGGCCTCAATCTGCTTCTCCTATAAGACGGAAGCTGCTAAGCTCGCCCCTTCTAGGAAGGAGGAACAGGAAGAATAAGAATCAGGAGAGTTCGGACGACGAAGTCAACGCCTCTGGGGACGAGATCTTCAACGGCACGAACTACAAGGACCTGGAGACCTTCCAGAAGTCGCAACTTAGGCAAAAGGTAAGATCTACTAAACGTTCCAAGAGGAAATAATTACGTGAACTTTCACACAGCTGAAGAGAGGCAAGATCGAGCCGAACGGGAGCAGCTGCAATAACCCCATAATACCCCAGAGGAGGGAGTTTGTGATGCACAACAAGGCCCCCATGTGGAACGAGAACAGTCAGGTCTACCAACTCGATTTTGGCGGAAGGGTGACCCAGGAGTCGGCCAAGAACTTCCAAATAGAGTTTAGAGGAAAGCAGGTACTTCACCTAGAAACAATTTTAACTGCTGTTTCTACGTATCTGTTTTTGACATTGATTTTGTTCCGCAGGTGATGCAGTTTGGACGGATCGATGGGAACGCCTACACCTTAGACTTTCAGTACCCCTTTTCGGCGCTGCAAGCGTTTGCGGTAGCTTTAGCTAATGTCACGCAAAGACTTAAATGATTTTTTTTCTTTGGTTCCACGTGCCAATTTCGGGATATTTTGGAAGTTTTGTATTGTTGATTTTCGTTTAACGTATGTTTTTCCGTTTTTGAAGAAATTCACATATATTTTATAGATGTTTTGACCGATATTTGTTACCTATTGGGATGTCTCGTCGTTTTTTCATTTATATATATTTATATTGTATTTAATGTTATTACTGTCAATATTATTAATAAAGAGATATTTCGTAGTGGGAACTTTCTTACACCTCTTCAAAATTTGGTCTGTAATGCATTAATATTTAAAAAATATTATCCAAACAGTACCAATGAAAAACATTAATTTTTGGCGCCCAACGTGATTCTAGTCAAAATTATAAATGCACGATTTTCACACAAAATTTTGGCGCCCAACGTGGGGCCAGGCCAATTAAAAATCATTATTCAAAATAAAACCATAATTCCAATAGTTATAATAAATTAAATTTTGGCGCCCAACGTGGGCTGGTCAAAAATTAGAAATGCACGATTTTCACACAAAATTTTGGCGCCCAACGTGGTGTGCGTACAAAATGTGCACACTAAATTTTCACTTTTGACCCTTGGTCTACCCCTTGATTTTTACCACGTTTATCAACTTGTTTACGTTTTGAAATATTTCTTTTATCCCCGGGAACACCAACAGTTGGAAGGTTAGGAAAAGTGGGGACTTTGGTAAATTAAAGCCAGCACGATTATTCAATAATTTATTTCGTAGGCATGATTATAAAACCAAGCAACAACGTATAACAACCCTTAGAATCTATGACAATATATGTATAACTATCCCTCTTGTCTAGGTCTCTAACACTTATATAACTCTATATTTACAAGTTAGTGTTCCCCATTCGAACCCATAGGCAGTCTAGTAGACTATTTTATTTGTATTCTATACTTAGGTAGGCGTTTTTTTTTTTTGAACAAACACAACTCGTTAACGGTTTACGTCTTATTGCTCGGCAAATTCCTGCGCTACATTTTCGTTAATTTTCCTCCATTATTGTCAAAAATGTAAAAGAAACTCTGGAATACCAAACAACGCCCCCGATCCTATGTCTCTATATAATTTTTTATATTCATCAGTTTCGTTAACGCTACTACTATTTAGTAATCGATACATTCATTTTTTTTATTATAAGGTGCTAGTTTAATATCCTTTTCATTTAGGTAGTTCAATTTATGTCTATAATGGCACTACGTGTCATAAGAAGTCAGCCAGGTGCGGTATTCGATCCCCAAAAGAATACCAGGATATATCATAAAGACAAGTAAATTCAAATAAAATTCAACTTCAGCAAAAGAAATGTAGCTCATCTGTAGGAATAGACTCACTTCGGAGACACAGATAATCTCCCAATAATTCAAAATAAGATAATCAAAGTGAGAATAGTGTTTGCAAAAAATTTTGGCGCCCAACGTGGGGCCGGTCAAAATTAAAAATCACCGGAATACCGCACCTTAGACCTCGCGTTTTCAAGAATACCTAGATATATCACAAATCAATCGACAACAAACACACACACACGCACCCACACACACACTAGTCTCATCTGACTGATACAAAATACATCGGTGAGCTCATCGAAGGTAATGTATATAAATATTTGATGCATATGTATTTACAGATCAGGTAATTTTATTAAATTTCTCTTATAAAATTTCATAAGCTTCATTTTGTCGACGAAATAGGACGAGGTCGGGTCCGACGCGGGATACGCGTAAGGGGCGGCACAATGACGTGCTCCCCAGAGGGGAGGGGATGAACTTCTAGAGGAACTGAGAACACTTCTAGTAATGGAGAATATCGTTACTTGAAAGCTACTTATATTATTTAAAGAAAAGTATCTATTCAAGCAAATACTGGTTAAAAACCAAAACATGAATTTTTGAATAAAATTTTTCTTCAAAGAAGAAACGAACATGGCATATTCATCAAAATTCGTTGGAACTGATCCTGGCAAATATCTCAGCAGTATTTTTAGTGCCACTCTGCGTCCATGTGCACGAGTATAATAAAGCGAAGAATATTAGGCAAAATAGAATGAAACAATCATTTTTCATTGGTCCAATATTTAAAAAAATGGAATAGGAAGTACAAAACATCCTTAAGCAGACCACGGAACAAAATTTAAAGCTGGCAACCATTGAAATACCTAGAGAATTGTTTTCCAATGATCCACAGTCACCCAATAGTTTTGTAAAGATAAAATAGGGAGTCAAAAATAGTTTTAAACAAACCACAGAACAAAATTTATGGCGGAGAGTTACTAAATACTTTCCAAAGATAGAATAGGAAGACGGACTAGCTTTTCTTTAAAGCGATCATAGAACAAAATTTAAACATGTCAACTGATGTAATATCTACAGAATGATTTTGCAATGGTCTAGAATTATCCAATATTTTAGAAAGATAAAATAGAAAGATCCAAGACCTACAAACTGTTAAATAGACCATGGAACAAAATTAAAAGATGTCAACTGGCGTAATACATACAAATCCTTTTCCAATGGTCCAGAATTACCCAATATTTTATAAAGATGAAATAAAAAGATCAAGATCCAAATTTCTTTAAACCGACCAGGGAACAAAATTTGAAGAAATTATCTAATGAAAAACCTGAATAATCCTCTTCAAAAGGTATAGAATTATCCATTACTTTATAACTACAGAACAGGAAGACCAACATATCGTTAAATAGACCATGGAACAAAATTTAAATATGTCAACTGGCGTAAAATTTACAAATCTTCTCAAAGGTCCAGAATTGCCCAATATTTTATAAAGATGAAATAACAAGATCCAAATTTCTTTAAATCGACCATGGAACAAAATTTGAAGATGTTAGCTGATGAAGAACCAAAAAAATCGCTTTCCAAAGATACATAATTATCCAACACTTTATAAAAACAAAACAGGAAGATCAACATACCGTTAAATAGACCATGGAACAAATTTCAACGGTGCGTATTAAAGCATTACTTGTAGAAAGGTTTTCGCTTACCCTGTACAAATATAATTAGGCGTGGTCGGGCATCCGGGCGCCCCTACGCGAACCCTGGTCGGCGATCTTAAAAAATACACATTCTTATATTTACATAACAGTGGTGATGTTCGATGACGACGATGGGATGAAGTGTAGGCACTCGCCGGGGGCGTACGCCCCTATTGCGGGGGCGGACACCGCACGACGGTGGTGGTGGCGAACTCGGAGAACTTCTTGTCGATGGGGATCCTGTCGTCGTAGAGCGTGGGGGCCTGCAGAATGATGCCCGCCGTTCCCACGAGCACCGCGAGGGTGAATATCCACAGGAACAGCCTGTCCAGCACCATCGCGACGTACTTCCAGTCCTCCTTCACCTGGAACAGGAGGAAATTCTCTCTGGGGATGAAATACGTTTGCAAAAAATCAAGTTCGGACGTTTGTACGACGCCAAAGAAAGTTGATTGGGCTGTAGACGGAAGCAGTGTTAACTATGCTATTTTTCCCGGGTCAATTCGTATTTTGACCACAATATCAAGCACTGGCAAGCACTGGCAAGCAAGAGTGGCCCAGCCTACTTTTTTTTGTGGCGTTGAGTTGCCAACGATGATGCAAGGACTTGAGACATAGGATAGTCGCGTTCTTTGACAAACAAAGTGTGGTGAATAGAATACATTCTCGACTATCGGAAAAATAAACGACGTCTGTAACAGATCTCGCATTATTTCGTAGAGAAACGTTCAGCAATCTCAGATCCCGGACTATTTCGGGAATATCTCAGGGAAATATGACTTGGCGTCGCTCGTTCGGATAACGGCTTTAAGATCCCGACAACAATATAGATAAAGCGTCTCCGACGACGTGTTCTGCACCATGAATTCTCTCTAGGTGCAGTTCTGGTTAAATAAAAATTTTAAAAATAATCCCGCACGTCCAGCGAGTATATGACAGACATACACAACAATTTCACGCGTCGTTTGAGCCCTGAGAGGGTTCCCAGGATTCTTCGATGGAGAACTGCTGTATTTTACAAAAGTAGAGTCCAAATACAACTAAAGAGAAGTCTTTCACGGCTTATTTACTTTATTTTTTTCGTCACTGCCCAAAGAAATCCGAAGTCCTTTTGAATTTAAAGTCATATATGACAGCTCTTAGGATGATTTAGAAGAGTACCATTCAACCAACAGGAATTTAAAAAAATCAATACACAAATCAATTAATTCAAGTTATTAGTTACAGTGACCGTTACTGACCTTCGTCGAGTCCTCCAGCATCTTGGTGTGCTCGGCGATGAAGCGGACACAGAAGCAGGACTTGTGAATCTCCGGAGGACACCGGCTGTGCGAGTACGCCGGATTCCTCAGCACCGGACTCTTCAAGCCGTTGTCGTTGTCCCCGGGGCCGGCCAGCTCCTCCGACTCCGAGTGTGCCATGGCGACGGGCCCGTGGATCTGGCAGCTGCCCCCGAAGGGACCGCCGTCGGCGAGGCTGAAAAATTCCCATATATTAAACGCTACGGATATAAAACAAGGATATAAAAGTCACCGTTACATTGGAACTGTTATTTTGACACCGTTACTTGGGAACCGTTACTTCGGAACCGTTCCTTTAGAACTGTTACTTTGGAACGGTTATTTCGGAACCGTTACTTTGGAATCGTTACTTTGGAACCGTTATTTCGAAACCGTTACTTTGGAACCGTTATTATGGAACCGTTCCTTTGGAACTGTTACTTAAGAGCCGTTACTTTGGAACCGTTATTCCAGAACCGTTACTTTGGAATCGTTACTTTGGAACCGTTACTTTGGAACCATTATTTCGGAACCGTTACATTGGAGCCGTTATTTTGGAACCGTTATATTGAAACCGTTCCTTTGGAACTGTTACTTAGGAGCCGTTACTTCGGAACCGTTATTGCAGAACCGTTACTTAGGAACTGTTACTTTGGAACCGTTACTTTGGAACCGTTACTTTGGAACCATTATTTCGGAACCGTTACATTGGAGCCGTTATTTTGGAACCGTTATATTGAAACCGTTCCTTTGGAACTGTTACTTAGGAGCCGTTACTTCGGAACCGTTATTGCAGAACCGTTACTTAGGAACTGTTACTTTGGAACCGTTATTTTGGAACCGTTACATTGGAACCGTTACTTTGGAACCGTTACCTTGGAATCGTTACCTTGGAATTGTTACCTTAGGAACCGTTAATTCGGAACCGTTACTTTGGAACCCTTACCTTGGAACTGTTACTTTGGAAACGTTATTTTGAACCCGTTACTTCGGAACCGTACTGTTAAAATGAAATGATCATTTCATTTCATTTGAACTTTTTAGAGGCCCGAGACGAACAAATGAGACCCTTACAGCGAATTAAGGGCCGGACTTGATCCTAATGCCTTTTTTAAAGAACGAAGCCATGTCGCGGCACACTACGATGCAATTATTGTTTCATGTTATACGAAACATGTAAAACTGGTATCGATTTCGTACATTTCGTTGTTTTCAGCGTTTCGCAGCGCGGCGAAAGGGCTTTATTTAAATTTGCCAGCGCCGAAAGTCCAAACGGGAATTACAGAAACTTTGCAACGAATTGAATGAGCGGTCATTCGAAAAACCAACCAACTATAATTGCGAATCCCTCAAAATCGACCCTTCGATTACTCTTTAAACTAACAATCGCACTTAATGCAATGCTCCCAATTCAACCCGTCTTAATTTCCTCTAATAGTGCCCCGGTTATGGATCGTAAGGAAATAACACCTTTCTCTTCCGGCCTAATACCGGCGAAACGCGAGGAGAGGGATTAGCGAGCGCCCCTGCAATTATTTTTCGGCGAATTACAGCCCGCCTCCCCCGAGTCACGTTATTAATTGTCACCCCGGGTCCCTTCTCCTCCAGTTTTTTTGCTAATGGAAGCTCCTCGCCATTATACTCGTTTTTTTAGCCGCTTGTAAGGCACCCCACTCAAGTCTGTTTCACTCGTTTTTAATGAACCGCTCGAATCCCGTAAAGGACTGCACAAAAAAACCATAAGTGTACGCTGAAACAAGTATTAAACGGTTACCTTGGAGATAAGTCTTCCTTGCTCGGTGTCCTGCTCGGGAATCTCCTCTTGGGACTGGAGTCCTCCCTGTGAACGGTGGTGTGGTAGGGGTAGAGGCAGGTGGAGGGCTCTCTACCCCTCGTTATGAAACGGTTGGCCAGAAATTTGCTGGAAGTAAAATTTATTGTTATAAACATTTGCTTCCTTCCTTGCTTTGGAAAGGAACTTTTGGTTGTGCCATTTACCTGTTGGTTTCGAAGACATAAGTAGGCCTCTTCATGACTAATAGTCTAGGGAGGATGTGAATGAACACCCTCTTCACCCAGGGCGACATCTTGTGGGTCTGCGGCGAACGAAAATGAACGTTCAAGACCACTACTGTCACACATATGCTGAAAAATATTCAAGACTATTATCGAAAGCAACAATTATGTGTCAACATTGCGTTCAAAATCTCCTCAGTTAAATCGTTTATAAAAATCAAAAACAGCAGCGGTCCAAGATATAAGCCTTGAGGCACACCAGATAAAGGGTGGTAAATTGAAGCTCGATTTCAACAAACTGCTGAATGTAGTTGTGGAATCAAATTGTTAACAGCATCAATTTGATAAACAGTTTGGCTCTGTTGATCTAAATGTTCATAAGAGAAGAAAGCAAGATTTGTTATATACCATCTTCGAGTTGTTCTGTGACTAAGATGTTCTTAATATCATTAAATAGCAAGTTACTAATTTTGATTTTCAAGAAATGCATAATACGTGCTTTTCCGAAACTGAGCTCACTGGGTACAAGAGAAAATATGTACAAATTGAACTCCCAAGAGACATAACGCCGAACATTTTTACCTCGGCCCTCTAAAACCACTCCAGTTCACCACCGGAATTTCCGGCTTTGTTCTGAGAGTTCCTGCGTGTAATTATATCCAATTTTTGGGGTACACGCTTGTATAGCTGCCGATCCCAGGGTCTTAATTGGAGCAACCTTAATAGACACCAACCGCAATTGGTTTACAGTTCCTTAGTAAATTGTTCGGGACTGCAAACAGGCAAAATGCCCTTGTCAGTCCCTCGTATAGCCCCTTCAAAGGCAGGAGCTTCGGGAAGATTACTGTTAATGGACCATGTTACAATGAGAACCCCATAGATTAATAAGTAGACACGTTCGTTATTTTTTTTTTAGTCGTTGCATGGAAGGCGGTATAATTACATAACTGAAATCAAGATTTCGAACCGTTATCCTCAACTTGACAAAGATCGCGCTACTTTTAATATCTCATCTCAGGCGCCTGAGAAGTGTATTATCGCTTTGCGGAAGATTAAAACTTTTTTGCTTAATTCTCGGGCGAGAGTTAATTTTAGACATCGCCGAGAATCATTTTAATGATATAATCCCTCAGTGGAGGGTCCTCTGGGGAATATTACAGAAATAAAATATTTCCTTTTATAATTAGTACATTTTTCGCGTCCGGTAAATTATATTCGTGTTTTCGATTAAAACTTCGCTTTACGGATGCTTTTTATGATGCTACGTGACCGGTATTCGGAGATTTATGCGCGTCAGTAGGGTATAATTGCGGTCTCTGAGTCTCCCCCCTCCACTTTCTGGCTTGGGATGACCTTGAGGCCGAAGGCCGATGACGTT